GCATCGATATAGAGTTTTGGAGACTTTTCATTCAAATTTCCTTCAAGAGATCCCATATGTAATTTTCACCCCCTCCAGCACTCACCAGCCCTCACTCTCACGCCTTTCCATTTCTTCCAGTTCAATAGGTAGATGATGTGTTAGCTTATTTGAATTTATGCCTCTTCTGGTAAAATTGTCAATAATTTTTGCCAGGCATATTGACACAGACCTCTAATCCCAGCCCTCAGAAGGCCGAGGCAGGAGATCAGTGCAAGTTTGAGGCCAACCTAGGTTACATAAAGAGTTCTAGGCCATCTTATGCGTCAAGAAGTCCTGTCTTAATAGCAAAACAATTATTAGCAAAACAATACTCACTTGTATTTGCCAGATTCCCTTGTATTGCAGTCATAGTGAAGCCATTGGATTAGTTTTGACCAGTCAGCTGTGAGAGAAAGGCCATGTACAACCTTTCCTCTGAGATAATGAAGACACGATCAAAAACATTTTTAAAAACAAATATCTTCAAAGACTCACTCTGAATGTTGATTTTACGTTGCATAAAATGGGCCTAATAATACCTATTTCACATAGGCATTGGTGAAAACATCAATAATCCTAATACTGTCTGAACGGGTATGTGGTACAAGAATAAATAAATAATATACTGGTGATGACAAGTTTCACCTCTTTTCCAATTATTCCCTCTCGTGTCTCCAGTAAAAGATGAGATAGTTCATGAATGGAAAGGTAGTTAAACTTCTCAGCAAGTTACAGAACTCTAGACAGGGTTCAGAGCTCATGGTCTCAAATGGAGGTTTGTCCTGTGTGATTCACTGAAGTATTCCACATGCCAGAGAATGTGAGGATTTGGGGTAAGGACTCTGTGGCTGTGCCCAGGGATTTCTATTCCTGCCTGTGGTTCTAACTCCCGGGGCTTCAGGCCAAGGCTTCATGGCAAATCTTCCAAGTCCACCCAGGTCCTTGGGTTTTTTGTTTGCTAAGATTTATTTTTATTAGTTTTAGTTATGTGTATCTATCGTATGTGTTCAGGTGCCTGAGGAGGCCAGAAGAGGGTGTTGGAACTGGAGTTCTAGGTAAAACCAAGAGAGGCACTTGAGTTGGGGCCTGGGGAACTGAAGTCAGGTCCTCAGGAAGAGCATCTCTCCAGTTCTCATTCCTTTGTTTCGAGGCGTCTTTAAAGGGATCATGCCTTTCTCCAGAAAGGAAGAAACTCATCCCCAGTAAAAGCTTCTCAGCCTCCTTAACACTCAACTCCAGTTCCGCTGATGGCTGATGGCTCTCTTGCACTGAGCCCGGGGTTACCTCTTGGTTTTCGCTCACTGGCCTTTCTTCCTTCTCCATAGGTAACTCCCACCCTGTATAAGCCATGAGTCACAGAGTGATGGGCCATTCTCTTACATGTTCTCACCTATCCCAAATTTGCAGAAATCCTTAGAAATTAGAGCCAATGGACACAACCCAGTTTTAGATGCAGATGCAGGCTTCCAGCGAATTGGAGAGAAATGTGCAAATTAAAAGTCCAAATCATTTTAAACATGGGTCCGGCCATCCATATTTCCATGAGTGTTTGAAAAACCTGAAGTGGAAACCCAGATGTTGGCTGAGGGAAGAAGCTGCCATCTCTCGACCCCCACCATCCTCTCTATGTGGAAGGGAGTAGTTTTCAGAGATTTATTTTCCCACTGAAACTTTCCTTAGAAAATGGAAACAATTACAGTGAGTTTTGAATATTATTTTTCCTGCAGTTGCATAAATCACAGAGTGCTAGTCGGTGCTCATTTTCAGTCGCTGTCCCGTGTTCCCATCAGTTCCTGGATTTCAAACCCCCATTCATGAGTGAGATCTTATCTATGGAAAATACTTCTTTATTTTTCTGGGGGAATGCAGATATTAAATAAAGATACTTTCATAAAACTAAATTATCCAATGTAAATAGCTATCGGGTTATATCCTTTGAATAATTTTTGACATTAAAATGATTTGTCTTTTACAAAATGACTACAGTGTTAGATGATAGTTTGATTTACTTTAAACACTCTTACAACATTAGAAGTTGGCAGCTCTATGTTGGTTTCAAATTTATTTTTGAAATGTTTTCTGCTCTAAATAATTCCAAACCCTCTGAGCCACCAACCAGCATGTATCTTCAAATAGTTTTTCAATTAGCAGACCCATTGGCAAGCCCTTCATTTCTGAGAACGCCTGCCTGTCCTGCTGAAAGACAAATTGCAGGGTGTAATGATCTTAGGTCATAACTCCCCCCACCCCTCAAAACTCCAGGGAGTCGTTTGGCATGGAACTATTGGAGAGGAAATGTCTGAGGTCAACCCAAAGTTTTATTCTCTTACAAATTTCTACCTAATACTAGATTGCCCCACCCCCTGCATTTACATCTCTCCCTTTCTGAAGGTATAGTTCACATCCCTTCCACGCGCAAGCGACTGAGAAAATTTCTAGCATCTCTCAAGTTCAGGTTGTGTCAACCCTTCACTACCCACAGGATCCTTTGTGCAGAACTGCAGGCTGGTGTGTGTCTCCCCAGTAGACATGGTCCATTTCTAATGCAATCTTAATTGGAAACAGGGTCTTGCAGATATAATCAAATTGAAGTTGTTACGAAGGAGTCTAAATCAATATGGCAGGTGCTTTTACAAGAAGTGAACTTTAAAGCTGGGCATGGTGGTGCAGGCCTGTAATTCCCAGCACTTGGGAGACGGAGGCAGAAGGACTGAAGCCCAGAGCAGCCTGAGCTACACAATGATCTCTGTGTACTAGTCATTTTCATGTGGCTATGAAGAAACACAATGACCAAACTAAAGAGAGAGTTTATTTTAGTTTATGGTTCTGGAAGGATTAAGTCTGTCATGGCAAAGAAGGCATGGCAAGGAATCCAGCTCATGGCATGTTCATCTACAGGCAGGAAGCAGAAAAAGAGAACAAGCAAGAAAGTGGGTGCCTGCTTCCCCTGATGCTTCTTCCAGCAAGGCTCTGTATCCCAGTGGGTGCAGGGCCTCCCAAACAGTGCCTCAAACTGGGGACCAAGTGCTCAGGTACATGAGCCTAAGAGGGATATTTCTCATCCAAATCACTATACTGTTTGAAAAAAAATGTAAAAGAACAAAAAGGGGGTTAAAATTAGACAGACATGGAGACTATCATATGAAGACACACAGGAGAAAGATGATCACATTTAGGAGGGGTCTGAGGCTGGAATTGTTGCTTCATGCCAAGGAATGCCTGGGGACTTCTAGAAGACTGAAATGAAAATGAAGGCTACTCTCCCAGAAGCAATGAAAGGGCATAGTCCCACTGGCATTTCTCACTTCCATAGTGGGGAGACAACACATATCTGCTGCTTTAGGCCACCCAGTCTACGGTGCTTATGGAAGCATATAGATGCCTTATGAAACCAAGGAAGATTTCCAAAACATGCTCAGCCTGTTACTTTATGAAATGTAGTTAACCTAAATTTATGGTTAGTGAGATTAAGTGTCATTAAATGGAATAGGATGTATAAATGTGGCGAACTCTATCGAATAAAAATGAGCCATTTTGGCTGGGCAGTGTGATGTGGGATGCCCTTCTGTATATATGTTGTTTTATTGGTTAATGTATTAAAACCGTTTCAGCCAATGGCTTAGCAGAGTAAAGCCAGGCAGGTAATTTGAACAGAGATATACAGAGAGAGTAGGCAAAGTCATGTAGCTGCCAAAGGAGGCAGACACCATGTAACTGTCCAAGAAACAAGAGGTAACAAACCATGAGCCTTGTGGTAAAATATAAAATAATAGAAATGGGTTAATTTAAGATGGAAGAGCTAGCTAGGAATATGTCTGAGACATTGGCCAAACAGTGTTCTAATTAATATAGTTTCTGTGTGATTATTTGGGTCTGGGCGGCCAGGAAATGAACGAGAAGTCTCTATTTACAGAAGTGGTGGCGCACGCCTTACTTGGGAGGCAGAGGTAGGCAAATCTCTGGGAGGTCAAGGCCAGCCTGGTTTAGAGTGAGTTCCATGAGAGTCACAGCTACACAGAGACTCTGTCTCAAAAGACAAATAAAAACAAAACAAAACAAAAGTCACTTTTTTATCTCCCCCCTCATCAACACTACCAGCATCAGCACACTGCATCCAGGCACATTTTCTGTACTGTGGAGGCTTGAATGACCATGTTATTTGAGGAACATGAAAAGTTTTGAAAGTTTGAAACAGAAAAGCCACTGGACACTTTAAGCAGAGCTTAATAAGCCACTCCAGTGGGAGACGGGAAGACAGTTGTACAGAGTTACATGAATAGTGGATGCCCAACTCATGAGGTTTCAGAGAGGAGGGAGGACTCTATTGGCAATTGGGATAGAGGTCCATTTATGTGATTTTTTTTCTTCTTCTTTTTTGTTGTTGTTGTTGTTTTTTGTTTGTTTGTTTTTTCAAGACAGGGTTTCTCTGTAGCTTTGGAGTCTGTCCTGGAACTAGCTCTTGTAGACCAGGCTGGCCTTGAACTCACAGAGACCCATCTGCCTCTGCCTTGCAAGTGCTGTGGTTAAAGGTGTAAGCCACCTCATGTGATTCTTTGACAAAGTATCTGGCTGCCTTCTGTCATTCTAAGAACTTGACTGAGGCTAAATTTAAAGGTAACGGACTTTTTTCTTTGGCAGAGATTTCAAGACAGTTTTATGTTGTGTACTGGTAAAGAGTCTGTAATTAGTAAAATTAGCTTCATTAAAGAGATACCTTTTGGGTTGCATCAGAAAGATAGGAAAGCTGTGTTCAGGGCAAGACCTAACACACCTAGGCCTCCAACTTGTGTAAGTGAGCCTAAGGAGTTTCCTGCTCCTACGAAACAATGGCACGCAGAAGTAAGCTGCTCATGTATACGAATACTTGGTCCCCAGTTAGTGGTGTTGTTTGGGGAAGTTATAAAAACTTTAAGAGGTTGAGCCTTGCTGGAAGAAATGTCACTGGCCATAGAGCCATTTTTGAAGGCTTATAGTCTCACCACTGTTCTTGCTCTCTCATTCTTCCTTTGCTTCCTCGGTCCAGTTGAGATGAGCACTCAACATCCTGCTCGCGCTGCCAAGCCTTCTCCACCACGATGCCTCTATCCCTGTGGATCCATTTCTCTCCATTTGCACCTTTAGCCCAAAGCAAACAAAATTTATTTTATTTTTTTAATTTAGTGTGTGTGTTCCTTAGGTTGCTTTTGATAATGGTGATTTATCGCAACAACAGAAAAGTAACTATACAAGGACTTTTATTTTCATATAAAGTTTATATGACCTTAAGAAAATTTACAATAATTTTTAAAGCTTAATTGTCAGGTCTACAACCAAAGCTTTGAAGAGGTCTTAGGTAGAAACCCGCATTCTTGCAAAGGTCCAAATATGGACTAAGATTCACAATATAAAGTAATTTAAGTTGTAGAACTGGAATTAGTATCCTGTTCTATACATATACAAAACTGGGCCAATGAAAATTGAACCTAAGTCAGCAAATGTAAAATCTAGCAAATGTTTAAGGTGGGACTTCAATAACTTCACTGGCTTGACAAAATTAAAAAATTCTAGAGTAGAATACTAGCTAACAGAGACTGCAATGCATAAAATATAGGTGTCTTGGTATTAGACAGACTTAAATTCTAAGTGTTGGCACCTTTTAGAGTGTGAATTTGGGAAAATGGATAGTACCTGAAATACCAATGAATGTATCAGAGTTCTTGAGAAAAAGGAACAAGACTGACATGAACAGGTGTGATGTAACAGCACAGTCGTGCTAAAGGGTGCTAAAAGATGCTGTTTTGCAAAATGCAATGCATTGCCATAACAAATAGTCTTCAGGTATGGTGAGCTGGCTCAGCTGGTACAATGTTTGTCCTGTAAGCCTAACAGTCTGAATTCAACTCCTGGAATGAACCCATGGTAGGAGAGGACCAACTCCTGAATGTTGTCTTCTGACCTTCACACAAATGCCATGGCACACATGAACACACACACACCAAATCAAAAAATTAAAACAAATTTTGTTTGCTGTTGGGCTGACTGTGCAAATGCAGAGAACAAGAGGCTCACTGATGAGAAGGAGTACCTGGTTCCAGAAAAGATATAAGGAGGTCCACATATTCCTAGTTGTTTATTAAAGATTACTGTCCTGAAGGCACTTACCTGGGATTCTGCTTGCTGCGCACATCTCCTTGTATTTTGAACTTGTATAATATTTAATACTGACAGTTCACTTACAAGAATACAGAACCATTTCTTTAGAATTCCCCACAGCTAAAAATCTTAAGTCCTTAGTGATGATTCTTAAGGTTATGGGTTTCTCAAACATAGAACTTGCTTCCTATGCTTAGAATGCTTCACTGTCTACTTCGCTAGGCTACAGCATGCTGAGAAGGACCAAACAAGGAGAGGAATGCATTCCAGATGTGGTGAACCAGATGTTTACTACTATCAAAGGAGATGGGTCTACAAGAAACACCAAGAAACACAACAGAAAACAAATCTGTATAAAATGGCCTTTTATTTTTAGTGTTACTTAAGGCGTCAAAGATTTATTTTATATGAGAAACAGCTAGCACCACAACCTTGTGGTGTGCACCTGCAATCGGATCTCTCAGGAGGCTCAGGCAGGAGAAGCACCTGTTTAAAGTCAGCGTTGGGCTACATACTGAGACTGTGTCTAGAAAAAAAAAAAAACTCAAAAAAACAAAGTCACTCTATTTGAATTTGTCTTATTTTTCACTAAGCATGCATCCTTTTTTGGAGAGCTGCCACAGTCCCAGTTGTCTCTGTCTCATGTCTCTTCAGCAAGCTCTAACGCACGATGTTCGACCCCCTAGGCCATTCACTGAATACATCAACCAGGATGCAAGAATCTGAAGTTTATTTGTTCTTCAGGCTTGTTACCGCAGAGCTTCAGGATGGCTGCCTTGGCTTTAGAAATTTTCAATCTCAGCCCTGCTTCCTGAGAATAAAAGAAGCAAGGGGGAAAGAACACCTCCCTTTACATGTTTGGTTCAACAGCAACCAAATTGTTCTTCAAAACTTCATTAGCAGGCTTCTCTTTTTCCATGCTACTATTGGAAACGCTAGAAAACCGAATGACAGTTAACGACGAATAAAATTACGCGGCCTTAGAGCAATCATGATTCCTCTTTGGTAATGGGAATTTTGCTTCCCTCATTACAGTCAGGGTCAGTTTGTTACAAAGATGTTGGGAAAAATTTATTTATTTATTCCTGCCAACCCACCCATTTTAAATAACTGTCATTTTCATGTCTAGTACCCTAAAACTCATGTGTGGTCTTGAGATCTGGAAAGTTATGAAGGAAAAGGTGTTGGCAGACTCCAACCGAGGTGTCCGTCTGGAATGATCTCAGAGGATGAGCCTACCCTGATGTGATCAATCACCTTGGAGGAACAAAGAGGAACTCTGAGGAGCTGAGTTGGGTGGTCAAGTTCATGGGAGGCTGTAAATTCCATCAGTCATCTACAAAGCTACCATTCCTAGAGCTGGGGATAGGTCAATCCCATTACGGCAGGGGTCCAGCATAGCTCTCCCTGTGAGGGTTAAGATGCAGCGAGAGGCACAGGGAGAAGGGACTAGTTTCTCTTCCTCCTTGCTTCCTTCGCATCTGCCTGTACTTCCTGGAAGCACCTCCTCAGGATGTTACTCCCTAGCAGTAGCTGAGTGCTTTTGCAGCTTTTTTTTTTTTAAATATTCAAAGAATCAGCATGGGGCTGGAGGTAGAACTTAGGGGTGCTTGCCTTGGTTAAACCCTTAGTACCAGAACAAAGGAACCACTCCCTTTCGTGTCCACTAATAGATTTGCTCTTTACTTATCCCTATTGTGAGTCTCCTTTGCAGAGGGGAGACACACTTCCGCCAGGGGATACCAAGCAGAGGCTGGGAACACATTATTAGTGAGAAGCTAGCGCGTTGAGCAATGAACACTGAGGAAGTTGGAGAGTCTTTAGTATATTTCTATGAAAATAATGCCCATTATCCTCATCAAAGATTTACATCCGACAAATTAGTGCCAACTGTCTACACCACGGTTTTAAGCATATTCAGAGTTGTAAAACTACCACCCCAATCGATTTAGGGATATTTTGATCTTCCCTCTAGTCAAATGAGCCCTGCACCCATTAATAATCACTCTTTTCTCCCTACCCTGTCTACTAGCACTAGGCAAATAGTTACCTACTCTCTCTCTTTAGCGATTTAAACATTCTGGCCTTTTCATATACATTGATACTATCCAGTAAGTGGTCTTTTGTATTGACTTCTCTAACTTAGTATTATTTTCATGGACATAGTAGATAGTTGTTCTTTACTTTCATCCTTATGGCAATCAGGGCCACAATGTGGATACACTGCAGCATGTGTATAATCCGTTGATGAGCACTTAGCTTCTATCCACTTTCGAATATTGTGATATTAGGAGTGAACCAATGCTGTCATTGTCTTGGGCATACACCCGGGAAAGGCACAGCGGGGTCATGAGGTAGCGCTGTGATGAACTTATTGAAGAACACTTCAACTGTTTCCCAGAGTGGCTACGATAGTTTGTATTGCCATAAGCAATGTATCAGGATTCGTATTTCTCCAAAAACTTAGCAGTTCCTGCCATTGCTTGATTTTGTGTATCGCCATCTTAGGGAGGATGCAGTCCTACCACCCTTTGGTTTTATAAAATGAATATATATATGAACATTGAATCAATCTCTCTAGCCATCGGGTTCTATATCCTATAACCATCCAACTAGGTATCTGAGGCCTGGTTTGTAAAAGGCTTAGCAATTTATGATGGTAAAAAGGCAGACCCTTCAATGTCGTTGAAGGGCACCAGTTCAGGAACAGTTAATTGGTCTACTTAGCCAAGATGGATGCAGAGCAGAAGGCCTAATTCATCTAAGAATAAGCAAATGTTGTTGGTATGAATGTAACTCCAAATTGCGCATTTGATTTGTGTATTTAAGGCTTGGACTTCATGATATTTCACGGAACAGGGCATGTTCAAAATGCTTGCAAAACAGTGGTTGAACGAAGTTGTTATTGACTTTTCAGTTCCTCTCCAGGGATCCACTCTCTTGTTCTTGAGTTTAACATTAATTTGATGGGGACACCGTGATGAACTGTGATTGGCCACGCAGAATCAATCCCATTCTCTGCTGTCTTTCTTCTAACCTGGAAAAATCGCAGTTCCTTCCGCTGAGCAGCAAGCTGGCTCTTCAAAGCCTTTCTTCAGAATGCTCGCCTCAGAAATGCTAACCTCATTCCGTGGCGCTTTCTTCCTAACCCCTTTAAGACACTCACAAGGAGCACTTCTCCCCCGCAGAGGTACAGTAAGAGCTCCCGCACAATTGGCGGTGAGTCTCCTACCTCAGTGCCCCTTGCCTAGCACCGGAGGTGAACCACAGGACTCTCACCTCATCGCTTCCGCTCTTCTGCTTAAGGAGATCCTTCTTTCCTCGTTCTTTTACTTAACCAAACCCCGACACGAGAAGCCGGAGGCTGTGTAACAGCAGCCTGGAGGACAATTCAGGAGGCTTCAACTCTCAAGCCCAGCCGGGACCGACTCCGCAACCCTAACCCCGCCACTACTCGCTCTTCTGTCCGAGCGCTCGGGCAGTTCGGGCACCCCGGAGCGTCGCCTCCACCCAGTCTCGACCTGAGCAGCAGGTGAAGACACCACACCGTACGTCCACAAGCGCCAGCCTCCGAGCTTTCACTGTCGCGGGACACCGGACGTGACAGACAGGAAGTCCCGCCTCATTCCTAGGGCGGGCTAGCAAGATGGCGGCGCCCTGGAGCCGGTGAGGTGAGAGGACACGGGGCTCCCGGGGACAGCTGCACCGGTGCGTTATGGCCGCGTCCCCACACACCCTCTCCTCGCGCCTCCTCACAGGTATTGTACCCCACCGGGAACGATCGTGGGAGAATTCTTGTCTATTTGCCACGCGCGAGATCTTGGTTCTAGCTGGCTGCAACCTTGGAAGCCCTTGGCTTGTCACCTGGCAGGGAGGTGACCTTTGGGGTAACCTGAAGGAAGGGAAAGGCCACGGAGATGTTTTGTGGCGTAGGCCAGGTGGTCCATAACGTTTGGTGTCTTGTGCTTCTTTGGAGTTTCAAACAGTGCAAGCTGGCGGGCAGGGTAAACCGGGGGGCTCCACAATCCTCGGGCTTATGAGAGCCGCGCTTCCTAGCCACTGCCTTGTAATGACAAGAGGCGCACCTGCCCCCCATGGAGGAGCTTCCTTCCAGCTAGAAGTGTCACGGTGATAACCGGGATAATAGCTGCAGGCTGAATCCCATTGGGACTTAGCCCTGTGCCATCAGGATGGCTCTTTCCGTTCTAAAAAGGCCTTCTGATAAGTATTTATTTATCACAAATTCTTGAACAGGTCTCATATCTTACCTTTTCTGAGAGGCCAGCTTCTGCACTCTACCTTAAATAGGAGCCTTTATCTTTCTTTTCTCGTATCACCTTAATTTATCATGGCTAGGACATACTCTAATTGTTCACACACGCAATCCAGATGTACATCAATTTAGTACGGTTCTCCCAATTAGACACATATTTTGTGAAGGTAGAGATTGCCTCTCTCACTAATTCACCCCTTTATCTTTCATGCCCAGAGAAGTTCCTCTGTACATTGACAATGCTCAGTCACTTGTGAATGAATGAGATTGTTCTGGTAGAAATATTTGAAGAGTAGGTTGGTTTTGTTGCTAATATCTGGGGATGGTAGCTAGATGGACCATATGAGAGACAAGATAGTAGAAGTCAAGAACTTCCTTCTCTCATCCCAGAAATATTTTGTAGGCCTCACTGTCAGATACAAGCCGCCCACAGTGTCTGACTAGCAGTGTTGCTAACAGTGGTTCCAGGAAGTTCTTTTCTCCCCTGGGTTTGTGTGATCTCAACGCAGATCATTTGAGTTTACTATTATTGAGGTAACTGAGAGAGATGATCTCAAAGGTCCCTTCTGGCTCATAAAATAGGGTGGCCATTGAAAGGGAGGGTAGAGGAGGCAAGGTTGGGCAGTATTTGGTAATTGTTGAAGCTGGGGGATAAGTAATAGGGACTCCTTGGATATCTCTGTTTTTATATGACTGCCAATTTCCATACTGAAAAGTTTGTGGGGTTTTTTTTGGGGGGGGGGTTGGGGGTAGGTGGGTTATGAGTCTTTTTTGAGTCACTTTGTTACTTTCTGTCATTCCTGCTGTGAGTGTTCCTTGATCCTGACAGTTGGTACTCATTTTCAGAGGACTCAGCTCTTCTTGTTGCTTGACTATTCTCTCTGTCTGGAAGCTTCTCCTGTATATGTTCCTCGGAGAAGCCTTTCTTTCTACTTTCCTGTTCTACATTTCGGCTCTGTATGGGACAATTCTGTTTTGATTTGAGCTCCACAGGGTAGGCGACAGGTTGCATATGACCCTGCTGTTCTAGGATCGGTCTCTAGAATGGTGGAATAGAGGAGACTAATAATAGCTTAGTTGCTAAAATTGGACATACCTTCCTGTTCCTTGGGGGGTCTATGCAAGATCCCACTCAGAAGTTTGATGGGGAGGTTGGCAGAGAAGGAACCTTAGGGTTGTCAGCAGGTACTTCTGAGTTTGCTTAGAAAAGTTCAGATTGTTTTCATTTCCATGAAATAAGCTTCAGGAACTTTCAAACCACTTGTCTCCTTAGCTGATAAAAAAAAAAAAAAAGCCCTAGTATTAATAGTGAATCATGGTGAGAGGACCAACTCTCCAGATTTTAATGCATCTGTTGTAAGCCTTGGATAGCTTAAAATGTACATGTTACCCAGGCCTGAAATAGCTCTCATTTTCTAGGTCTTTGTTCATGAGCACATGACACACTTTGGACACACTTTGACTAAACCAAGGGTTGTTATCCTTTACAAATTCAGTTTCCAAGTTATGTTCTGCCTGCCCTCCCCCAGGATTTTTGTTACTGCCATTCTGTAAAATTTTCATCTTGGCCCATCTAATCTTGAAAGAATTTGCAAGGTGTTTCCAAGGCAAACACATATCCATCCATTTGAAAGTGAGCGTGCCATAATTGTGGTTTGAGGATTTGGCTCACCTCTACTTTAAGATAATGGCCTTGTGTTTCCAGAGGCGGGGCTCGTTCTCACAGTTGAGGAAGGCTCCCTGGGCTTGTCATCACCAAACATCATTTCACTTTATTATCTGGCAAGTGTCCAGTAGCTGTGGTAGCAAAGGAGACTAAAGGAGAGATGGCCATTAAAGAACTAAACACTATGATGATGGTGTTTAGAGAATTCTTTCCTTGGGGAGACGGAAACAGTGCCTACTCCCTCATGATAAGGTCCTAATGAAGAACCAAATTATGATTCCACCAGCGTTCAACCTGGGGAACCAATGTGTTTATTGAGTTGCTTATAGAACATGAGTGAGGGGTTACTGGTAGGAGTAGAGGGATCGCAGAGCAGCTGCTCTTGCAAGTTTGTCCCCAGTGTGGATGATGGTGCCCCTCCAGTGAACCTTTCCCAGCCTTTGACTCTAGCATCTCTGCGCCCTGAAGCCACATGCAATTAAGGCAGAACTGCTAACAAATGGTGAGGAGTGGCTGGAATCTCGGATGAGAGTCCAAGCCCTCCCCAGTGCCTTGTCTATGAGGGAAGGTCAACAGCTAGCAAGCTGGATCCTGAGGGACTTTTGCAAGCAGGTGTAGCTGGTCTGACATAAATGGAGGATGTTTTGTTCAGGGGACTGCATTCTTTAACAGTTTGCATTAAGAAGTGCTATCATGGGACTCGGGAGATGGCTCAGCAGTTAAGAGCACTGACTGTTCCAGAAGACTTGGGTTCAATTCCCAGTGCCCACCTGACAACTTACAACTGCCTGTAACGCTGCCTCCAGGGAATCTAACACTCTCCCACAGATATGTAGGGAAAACACCAATGCACATAAAAAAATAATAAATAAATAAGTCATTGAAAAGAAGAAGTGCTATCATCAGATGCAGAGATCCACAGCCAAACATTAGGGGAGCTGGGGAATCCTGTGGAAGAGGGGAGGAAGGGTTGAAGGAGTGAGAGCGTCAAAGGCACCACAGAATATGGCCCATAGAATCAACTAAACCAGGGCTCATAGGGGTTCACAGAGATGAAGTGACAGCCAGAAAGCCTGTATGAATCTGACCTAAGTCCTCTGCATACACATTGTGGTTATGTTGCTTGGTGTTCTTGTGGGACTTCTAGCAGTGTGAGCAGGGGCTGTTTCTGACTCTTGCCTGCTCTTGGGACCCTTTCCCTCCTCCAGGTTTTCTCATATATGTGGGGATGTGCCTAGTATTAGTGTAACTTGTTATGAGGTGTTTGCTTGATATCCCTGGGACACCTGTTCTTTGCTGAAGGGAAATGGTTGGGGAGTGGATCTGGGGAAGAGGGGAGGTGGTGGGAGAGCGATTAGGAAGAGAAGGAGGAGGGGAAACTGATCAGGATGTAATATATGAGAGAAGACTAAATAAAAATTAAAAAGTAGTAGGAAGTACTCTGATAAAACACAATATAACATGATAGAATAGTGAAAGAGACTGAGAATTTGATAGAGAGTAGACTGCACAGAAGGAAACAGTGTAAACAATGTTGATCCAGTTGTGTGTAATGTGCTTTGTTGGAAGGTCATGAGGCAGTATTGCCGTGATAAAATAGATGTGCAGGTTTGTGATAGCAATATATGCTGGTTTGAATATAGGCACAGACATTTGAACTCTTGGTCCCCAGAGGTGGTGCTATTTGGGGAGGCTTAGGGGTACAATCTGTGGCACACGGGTTGGAAAAGAAAGGAGACGCACGAAGGCAGGATGACTTCCCTCTCACTATAACTCTGCTCCAGTAGAAGCTCCCAGGAGTCTTTGAGTAGGGATAGCAAGAGGGGGGATAGGTGTGACCTGCATGTCCTACCTTGCAACTGTTTGACTGCATATATAACCTCAGGGAGGAGCCCTTCCCAATCTTAAAACTTTCTAAGCTTCTAGAGCCCTGTAGGTTTGTAGCTTCTTGAGTATTACAAGCCTTCCTCTAGGAGGGAATGCTTAAACTTAGTAGAAATAACTACACAAAATATAGAAAATTGAAGCACACTAGAAAACTAAGAAGCAGAAAACAGAACGTGGATAAACTTTAGGTTGTAGAATCCATGAGAGGAGACACTTTAGGAAAGGGTGGCTGGGGACCCGGAGGGTCAGCGAGGGGATAATTGTAGCGTCTATGCTTTCACTTGCTGGACGAGGGTGATGTCTGAGATAAGCTCTGAATCTGTTGACTTGAGAGGTTTAATAAAGTGATTAGAATTCAAATTTGGGTGCAACAGAAGCAGCTCATTCCTAACTGGGTTGACGGTCGTATTTTACTAAATGTCATTTTCCCTTCCTTGTAGTTATTTTAACTATGCAAAGGGAATGCAAACCTTCATTTCAGTTTACCAGTGTTTAGTGAGAAAAGAGGAGTGCTTCCCTTTCTACTTTATAAAAAGTGAACTCATTGCATTGTATTAGAAACATCTACAGTGTGGTAGTCTTCTGAATTCTTTAAGCATAAAGATGTGAAGGTGACATTTCCATCACTCACCCAAGCCTAGCGCTGATGGGTGCCACTTATCCCCCAGTGGGAGTCAGCCGTGGCTTGGAGTCCA